TTGGAGAGAAGGGCAACTGTGCTGGGCTTGCCTTCTCCAAACCCAAGGCTTACTCAAGGGGGGTTGTCCAAATTCCGTGGTTAACACCTTTCTGGGAGGCGCTGACCTCCAGAGGAGCCCAGGAGAAGGCTGGTGCTCTTGCTGCCGTTCCAGGGTGTCTTGGGAGTGACTTTTGGTTTTGGTGTGTGCGCCGCTCCTTCTCACCATGTTAAGAGAAATGGACGGGTCCTTTCTCCGTGATGAAGACCTGCCTGTGCGCCTCTGAGGGCTGGAAAACAGCCTGATTTCATGCAGCTTAGGAAAATGTCTTGTTCCAACTGAGTCAGAAATACTTTTTCATTGTAATCTGTAAGTCAAGGAAGTACAGGATAGACTCAAGATACACCTCTCGTTAATCTGTTTATTTTTCCTTTCGCAGACTGTTAACTGGGTTGGTTTCTCTCATCTGAAGCAGTAAATTAGGTGAGTCATAAGGAAGCTAAACCAGATGCCATATTATCTAGCAGTAACATGTTAGCATTTCTTCAGAGTCCTAGCCAGGCCTTGTCCAAGGGGATCACTGTTGGTAGCAAATGTGCCCACACCTGCGTTCAGAGACGGCTTAGCTTGGGCAGGAGCAGTTTTGCGGATGCTACCGAGAGGAGTGGGAGAGACCCCCGAATTGTGCTGAATTGTCCTGTCTGGACAGGGCTGAGGTGGGCTTTGGTTTGGCACAGAATGATTTGATACCACCCGTTCAAACTCAGCTCAGCCTCTTTGATTCTCCTCAAAGCCAGTCCACTCTTGGAGCCCAGATTTCCACAGGCCCAGAGAGGTTTGGGGAAGCAAAGAGCAGGGGAGCACAGTTAAGAGAGCGGACGGAGTGGTTCTATAAAGCTCACAGATCTTCAAGTTCAGAAAGAGCCGCTGACCTGCAAACTCTGACCTGGAGAGACAAAGCCCTCCAAGAGCGAGGGGATAAAGCAACGTGAGACGTAGAACAACTCCATGTGGTGCTGGAGTTCACAGGAGGACCTTGCCGAGCCAGAATCCCTTTGCCCAGGACCACGTGTGGCAGCGCCGTGGCCGGGTGACTTGGCAGCAATTTACTTGCCCATAGTTGTGGTGCTGATGCTTTCATAATTAAATTCTCGTGTGAGAAAAGGAGGCATGCAGCCACTCACAGCGCTCGGGAAGCTGTGCTCTTCTGCGCAGGGCTAAAATTAGCCTTTTAAAATTATTATTATTGTTACTATTATGGACTTGGGGTGTAGTGGGTGTAACGGAAAGATCAGCAATCCTGGGAAAAAGATTCACGCTGATGCTTCATGCTGAACAGCGTGGGGTTTTCTGGGGGGGGATGATTGACCGGATCATGTGTGTGGCCACATAGGAAGCTCAGATTACTGTGACGTAGAAAAGGGCACAAGATGAGGTTGCAACACATTTTCTTCCAAAGGAGTGAAAAACGCTTCCTCTCTTTCTAAAGAAAAAAAAGGAAGAAAAACCTGGATTATTCTCAGCAGTTTGCTGTCCTACATGTTTGACCTTTGCTGCTGTCTGCTTTTTAGAGACAGATTCATGTTAAGAATAAAACGGGTTTATGTGCTGGTGCAAACTCTGATTTTCCTTTCAGAGGAACTGTTGTTACTCAGATAATCTGCTCCTCTCATCTTATTTTTCCTACAAAACCAGAATTGGCTGCAGTAGCCCAGCCTCACTCGTTCATCGTTTTCCATGTGGCACTCAAGGACTCCAACTGCCTTTTCTGTTTCTTCTGGCAGCCCGTGACGCGCTGTACTTGGAGCAGGTTTTGTATTCTCTGCAGTTCCGTACTCATGGACTGGAAAGCAGGAAAAGCTGCTTTGAAATGTGTCGGCAGATGCTACTTGTATGTGTTATCCAAAGTCAAGCAAGTTGGGTTATAAACCAAAATGTAGCATTGTATTCTAGTTGCCTTTTTTTTATTTTATTTACTATATCAGTAACTGCGTCAGGGCTATGAGATCAGCCGCATTTATGCTGTGGCTGTTGCAGCCAGGGAAGCCCACGTCCCAACCAGCTGATGTGCCTGAGGTCCTCATGATGAACACACGAGGAGTATGAACCTCCTCCAAATGCTTTTTTGAGAAGATTCTTCCTTCTGCCTGCACAGCCCATGAGCAATTCTCCTTCGTGCTTGTGCTGCCTGCAACTCTGCCAGAAAAACTGCCCCATTTTTGCCAGCTTTTGGACTACAGCTTCCCTGTCTCCTGCTCTCAGACACGGACATGATGTTCTCCTGGTTCTGTTCCCATCTTGAAGCTGCTACTGTCAGACTGAAGAGGAGCCTCCCCCTTGCATCTTAACTGCCAGCCATGGGCACCCTAGATAGGACTTTGAAATGCTGGTGTGTGATGACTTGCAATAATTAAGATATCTAGAATTAACCTTGCTCTCCCTATGTTATCACTGAGGTGTGAGATGAGTGTGTAAAATGGGGTGTGCTCAACACCTGGAGGAGAAGCTGAGCCATCTGCAAGGAGGCAAAGGGCAGGAGCTGGGAACCGGCTGAGATGTGAGAATATTCATTTATTTGGAAGCTTTTAGTAAAATATTAGTGTGCTGCCTCCTGTGGGTAAAGATGAGAAGAGGCAAACCTGAGCTGTTCAGCATTCATGCACACAGCTCTTGCACAATGAGGGAAACAAGGTGAAACATGGTGGAAGAAGCCCTTGGTGGAGGACATGGACTCATGGTGGCAGACGGATGGAGTTGGGAGTGCAGAGGAGAGGGGAAAATCTTCTCCTTGTGTAGTCGTTCCAGGAGAAACCAAGTTTTTTTACTGGGGCAGTGGTCAAGGCACTCAGGGCAAACGTGGCAGAAGCCTTAAAATCTGAAGCTGTGCATGTTTTGGTGAATTGTGGCTTCTGCCGGTGGAAGGGGGAAAATTGAACAGACAGATGAGCTGCAGCGCTGGCAGGGGCTGGCTCATTCAGGCAGGACAGTCATTCTTCCCTCTGAGCCGCCGGCTGTGTGGGAGAGGGAAGGATCATGACTGATGGGTGGGTCGACCTTGGGGTGGAGGAGGAAGACGTGGAGCACACGCTGGGGCATCATAAATAGTCACCTAAGGGTGATGCCTTCAGCACAGGGCTCATCCAAGGGGTGGACGCTGCTGGCTCCATGTGGCATCGCTCCCGGGTAAGCTGGGAAGGTGGGAGGACAGGTTCCCTGGGCCTTGCTTGAATCCCCTTGCTTTTGGCCATGGAGACATGCTGGCAGGAAGGGTGTCTTTCTTTCAGATGTCCTAATAGAGACCGGTTCATCTGCACTTTTGCGTTACCTCCCGTTATAGAAGGGTTGGTCTGTCTGTATTGGCTGAGGTAGAAGAAAGCAGCTAAGGCAAACTTGCTTCTTGCTTAAGGGGAGCATTGAGGGGACAGCAAGGTGCAGAGAGCTTCCTAGGGGAAGGAGAGCTGCTGCCTTCCCAGGGAGAGGGAGCAGTGGAGGGACAGAGTCCTTGGAGACCTTAAGTGGAGATTTGCAGAAGACCACAAAAGCCTCTGGCTGGTGAGAGGAGCCCACACTGTGAGCTCCAGAGGGGCATGAGCTGTTCTGGAAGATCCTCCAATGCAGGGAGGTGGGACTTGGCACTGAATGCTCGTGGCTCTTGGAAGAGGCAGCCACACACAATCCCTGAACTGCAGGTGGGACCACAGTGAGGGCGAGAGGCTCTGAATTCCTCATAACCAAGGTGGAGAGGACAGAAAGCAGAAGGGAGGTGAAGCTCCAGGATGAATGGAGCTGATGGTCCACTTTGGACTTCTTGGCTTGTGTCCCCTCCATGCCGCAGAGGTTTGCAGCCCAGTTCTTCCAGGTTCAGCCCTCCGGGGCCCCCAGCAGCCTCCCGGGGCTGACACGGCTGGGCTCTACCAGGTCACGGTCATGCAAAGCCCCCTTGGGACTTCCTCTCAGTGCCTTCCCCCCCATCCTCTCAGTGCGTGAGCCACTTCCCCTGAAGCTGCCTGCAACCGAGGCTGGGGCAGCCCTCCCCACAGAAACAACCATGAGGCGCCTGTGCCACTTCTGCTTCCGCAAAGCCTGAGCTAGCCTGAAATGAATCAGTCAGCACGAGGAGCAGCTCGATTCGGGGTTCCAAGCCACCAGGAAAGGGGGAAAATGCAGAAAAACACCCCGAAGCAAAAATGAAAGCAGGGTAGAAGGAACTCGGGAAGCTGGGACAACAGCAAACCAAGTTGTTTGCAGCCATGCCAGAGCAACCAATGGACATCCTGTACCTTGCAGGTACAGAAGAGGGAAGGCTAATTTTTGACAAGGAGGTGGGCAGGCACTTTCTAGGTGAACTGAGAACTTAATAAAATACCAGCAGACCTTGGCAGTTTGCCCAAGCATAGGTGAGAACCTTCTCTTAATTACCTTTAATTGGTTTCAGCATATTCAGACCTATGGTAAGGCCAGTGCGCAATGGGGATGGAGTTGCTGTGGGACTTGACTGGAGACTGATGTGCTTTTGCAAGTCCTTATTCAAGGATTTCACCCCTTTCCTGGCTCCCCCCTGCTCGCTGTAAGTTTTTTAAGTCCAGCGGAGTCATGGTGGTGGATCTCCTTCCTGCAGGAATGTTGTGGAGGAGGCAATCCCATGGGGGGTACTGGTTTCATGGCCAGCTCAATGCTAGACCTGCCATCATCTTATACTCCCTTGCCCACTTTGCCAAGAAATATTACCACCTCTGAAGCTGGGCTTCTCCTTCTGTAATAAAATAGCTCAACTTCAAGAAAACTGTTGGGCAGCAAGAGATTCTTGACAGTTAATTTATTTTCCATATTTAATTAACTAAATAGTGCAGGGAAAATAGGATTTCCATTGGAAATTGCTCTAGAGCAAGGGCAGTGCTGGTGGGGTCAGCTGGGGCCTAAAAGCACCAACCACCTGTCCACCCCTCAAGCAGGGGAGCCCTGAGGCCTCACGGGGCAGAAGACAGCCCCTTCTTTCTCTCCCATCCCCATGCAGGGTGACCATGTGTGTGGGGAAGTGCAGCCGCATCGTGGGTCCCTGCCTGCTGGCACTGGGCACGCTGTCCATGGCAGCCAACATCCTCCTGCTCTTCCCTGGCGGGACATGGAGGTATCTGGCAGAGGGGAACATCAGCAAGGATGTCAAGGTCATGCCAGGCATCTGGGGAGGCGGCATTGCTGTGAGTACCGCGATTTGTGCTGCATCCTTCCTCGTGTGTCTGTGGCGCAGGGACAAAGGGATGGAGTGGGTGGCTCCCTTTTGCCCCCGGCCACTGTTTCCTTCCCACAGGTGCTGGTGGCAGCAACCCATATCACAGCGGTGGGGTGGCGATGTGCTGGCTGCTCCGACTGCGGCACCCGGGGCAACGTAAGGCAACACCGAGACCCTCGTGCCAAAGCAGCACGTGGTGGGTGACCCCAGGGTGGGATGCGGCAGGGTGCCACCTCTCCTGTGGTGAGACATGGCATAGATCCCCCTCTCCCACGGCCACATGGTGGGTTGTTGAAGGGCACCACCTCTCCCATGGCCCCATGGTGGGATGCTGTGCAGTGCCACCTCCCCAGAGGTTGTGGCTTCCCCTGTGTGCTGGCACAGGCTCTGCAGCAGCAGGTTCTGTGTGGCAGCCCCCTGCCTGTCCTTGCTCCCGCCCAGCTCAAAACAACCCAGCAACGGCTCCATCCTCACCCTCAGCTCCAGCCTGGAGCCCCTTGGGGTGAGCAGGAGGAGAGATTTTCCCCCTTACCAAACTCCGCTGATAATGCACAGCCGTGTTTTTGACTTTCTGTTCCCTGTGCTGCCCACAGGCCTTCATCTCGGCTGTGCTCTCCAAGCTGGCACTCCTGGGTGCTGCCACCTGCTTTGTCCTCTCCGGGGTGGGTTTGACCAATGGACCCTTCTGCTTCTACAACACCACCAGGCACGGCACCAGCTGGGGTTACCCCTTCCGCGACACCGGCGGCCAGGAGCCTGATGCCAGGTGAGGCAGCATCGCTGGTTCCACCTCTTTGGCTTAATGCTAATGAGGTGAGCATTATTTATGGTGGCTGGGGTTGGTGGACTTGGTGGTGGTGATGCAAGGCCCTGGTCGCTCAAGAGGTCCTCACCTTCCATGGCTTCCTATGTGGTGCTTCCCATCCCCATCACCCTGCAGACACTGCTCACCCTTAGGATGAAGGACAGGGTGTCTGGGGCACACCTCCATGGTGGAGAGTGATGCAATTCCTGACCAGCATCTTCTGTCTCCTCCTTTCCCTGTCACGCAGGGCAGAGAACTACCTGCTCGATCGTCGCGCCTGGGGCATCTGCCTGGAGCCGGCGGGAGTCGTGGTCTGGAATGTCGTCCTCTTCTCCCTCCTGCTGCTCATCAGTGCTGCCGAAATGGTGCTGGCCTCCCTCCAGATCCTCAACGGCTGCCTCGGCTGCCTTTGCGGCTTCTGTGAGGGGAAGTAGGAACCCGCTGCGCTGCCAGGAAGCTGGCACGGGGAGGAGGCGGTGTCCCCACGTGTCCCTTGGCCAGTGCCAGACAGACGAACTCCCTTGGGGGGGGACACCCCAGGCTGTGTGAGTCGTTGGAGCACCGTGTGTGGGGTTGGTGTGTCAAGGGCTGCCGCCGTGCAGAGGGGGGTCTTCTTCCTCTGTCCCGGAGCAGACACCCTTGGGGCTGGGAGCCATTTGGGGCTGGAAGCCAGCCTGGTGAGTGATGGAGATGGGGACCGGGCTCCTGGCAGCCCAGCACCAAGCTCAACAGCTTTTGTGGCTGTTCCTCATCAGCCTCTGCCTGTCCAAGTGCAAAATGTGACATGGGAGGTATTTGTAGATATGAGAGGTGGAACATTAACTTATTTTCATTAATTAATCTGTATTTAGGGCAGCTTGTGTTGGAGTTTGTCTCCTGCACGGGGCAGGAGGGAAGAAGGAGACGTGGATGGAGTCATGCAGAAGGAGGTAGTGCTGGAAATGAGGTGTAGCTCCCCCAAAGTTCACTCGTACACACACATACACAAACACATGGAGCAAAGTTAGGGGCAGTCCCCACTCTCCATCGGTCCCAGACCCCATTACACCACCCGCCACGGCACTCACAGAGGTGTCACTGGCTTTGCAGGGATCGAGTATGGGTACAGACCTGAACCTGCTTGTGCTGTGAGGGGGTTTGCCCCAGAACTGATGAGGGTCAGAGGAAGGTAGCAATGTCCATGGTAGTGTAAAAACCAAAAGCAATCAGCCGGATTAAACAGTAACTGGGTTTAATTTCAGGAATTGGCTTGAACATAACCGTAAAAAAGGAGCAATTTAAAAAAAAAAACAACATAAATATGTATGGCCATGGGTGAAAAACCCTTGGAGCAGGCAGGTGGTGCCAGCTGCGGCACCACTGCAACATCGTGTGCCCCAGCCCAGCACCCACAGGTGCCATGGGGTGCCCCTGGCTGCCTCGTCCCCTGCATTGCTGCTGTTGCGCCCCGTTATAAGTTTCATGGGGCAGCTCGTGCGCTCGAGAAGGAGCCTGGGGCTGGGCTGGTGGGACAAGCCTCCATGCCTAACAAGAATGTAATTAAAAAATAGCAATAAAAATGAGCTAAAACCCCATTTGGGGAGGGTAGTGCATGCCTTCTGTGTGGCAGGACCCCGGGCTATGAGCATCCAGGCAGGTGGGGCTCTGGGTTGGTGCCCAGGGTCTGGCACTAAGGGACTGGGAGGGCACTAGGAGACAAGGCAGCTCCTTCGGCCCCACTTCGCACGGTGTGGGGGGGCACTGTCACGCTGGGGAGCAGTGGCTGTCAGGGGGATGTTCTGAAGCACATCGTACAGCGTGAACATGCTGAAAGAGATCTGCTCGTAGGGCGACCGTGTCCCATTCTCGTAGAGGCAGGCAAAAGCAACAGCTGGGCCACCAACGATGCCCCCATTGTAGGGCAGCTCCATGTAAGCCAGGTCTGAGTAAGCACTTGGGCCCTCGTAGATGACCCACGGCTCGGTCCAGCTCTCTGCATCCCTGGGGAAAGTGCTCAGGTGGACCCCCATGTTGACCCGCGACATAGAGCTGGTGGGGTGGGAGTAGAGGACCCACGTTGGTGCTTGGAAGAAGGGAGCAGGGTTGGGGGTTGTCATGGGGTCCCCTTGGACCAAAGTGACACCACTGGTATGGCTGAGATGCCCTGGTGTGAGACAGCGCTTCTGGGACTGGGCTGGCTTGTGGTGGCTGCTGGTGGCCACGGTGGGCAGCTCATCACCCGCTGCCTGCCGGGCGGGCAGGTACCGAAACCCTGGGAGCATCCCAGGGAGCAGCTGGCGAGCTGAGCCTCGGAGGGGCACCCCAGGGTCCCGGGGGGCAGTGGGGACATATACAAAAGGTGCGGGGAAGCCAACGACGCTGCCATGACAGCCATGGGGGGGCTCGACCAGCCGCTGGACCAGCTGCCCCCCGTGGAAGACGGCCCCGTCATCTGTGCTCAGCGCCTGGACCCTGAAGCCCAAGGGGCTACGGGCGTTGCAGTAGAGGACATTGGAGCCGTCCTCCTCATCCACCGAGACCAGCTGGCACTCGCCCGTAATGAACTCCCCGAAGCGCCAGCCCCGGCCGTGGTCGTCGCTGTAGAAGGCGAAGGAGTGAGGGGTGGTCTTGCAGAGCTGCCCGAAGCACTCCTTGCAGTCGATGTGGTAGCTGTAAGCGGGCACCAGCAGCCGGCCGGACCGCAGCTGGATCCCATGCCCGGGGCCCAGTGCGAACGTCGCCCAGTCTGGGAAGCAGAGATGGGATGGGGGTGAAGAGCAGCCTCCAT